GTCTCTGGGTATGTCTACACTACCCCCCTAGTTCGAACTAGGGGGGTAATGTATGCATACCGAACTTGCTAATGAAGCCCGGGATTTGAATAGATCGGAATGGCTACATAGTTCGAACTATCTAGCCCGTGCCGCGTGTAGCCACGCGGCACGGGATTCGAACAAGCTGGCTTTTAAAAATGGCGGAGCCGGCTTTATGCTAATGAAGCCCGGGAAATTCAAATCCCGGGCTTCATTAGCAAGTTCAGTATGCATACATTACCCCCCTAGTTCGAACTAGGGGGGTAGTGTAGACATACCCTAAGTGATTGGGCAACAAAATGGCAAATGAAAATGAATGTTGATGAACGTAAAGGGATGCACATTGGAAGAAAGAATCCCAGCTCTCCATACAGTCTGACGGGGACTCATTTAGCTACAACTCCTCGAGAGAGAGAGAGATCTCGGAGTCACTGTGGAGAGCTAACGGAGGCCAGGCTGGGTCAGACCAAAGGTCCATCTAGCCCAGTGGCCAATTCCAGGTGCCCTAGAGGGGCAGGAACAGACCAGGAAATTATCAAGTATTCCCTCTCCTATCACTCACTCCCAGCCCCTGACAAACAGGCTAGGGGCACCATCCCTGCCCAGCCTGGCCAATAGCCCTGGATAGACCTAACCTCCATGAGTCTATCTGGCTCTTTTTTGAACCCTGTCAAAGTCCTGGTCTTCACATCCCCCGGCAAGGAGTTCCACAGGTTGACTGTGCGTTGGGTGAAGACAAACTTCCTTTCGTAGCCGAGGCGAATTCCCCAGGCCCTGCTGACTTGCATGCAGCTAATCTAGCCGCGTCGGGGCTTGTGCTCCGTCCCCTCAGCCCTCTTGGCGCCCGGGGTTATTAGCTCTCCGGCCCCGCTAAGTCGTGGGCTGGCTCTTGCCCTCCCCTTTCTCTTGCTCCTGGAGTCTCTAGAGAGCCTCTTGGGGTTGCCGTGTGTCTCTCTCGCTTGGTGCAGCCCCTGCCCTGGCCTCTTTCACGCGCCTCCTCCGCACTCCGCCCCGTCTCCACGTGGGGCAGGAGCCCTGTGGGAGTTTCGGGGCATCGCTCCCTTGCAAACCCCCTCCCTGGGCCATGTGCAGCCCTGCCCCCGGCTGGAAGGAGCAGGTGTCTGCAGGTGAATCCCCGCAGGGCTGGGCTGACAGGAGCTGGCTTGCCGGGTGGAAGAGGCAGGGGCTGCCCGGGCACATACCCGGCCCTGGCAGAGCGGGTGACTCACACACGGGGGTGGGGGTGACACAGACGCCCTGCGGGATCCAGTCCACCAGCAGGCCCCACCCCCTGCTGCATCACTGCCCCGCGCCGGGGCTCACGCGTGGCCCCCGCCCACGGGGGGTCAGGGCTGACGTCTCCCCGAGACTGGCCCGTGGCCAAGGGGTGACTCAGGGACACAGCTGGGGCGGGGACCCGGCTCACTGGGCCGAAGGCAGCCGCACACGCAGGAGGGGCTAACACGAGGAACGGCCGGTGGGGCCGGGACAGGGACATTGGTCCAGCTTGGGCCTGCGTGGACAAGATGGGCTGACCCCCGGCCTCCCTCTCCGAGACAGGCAGTGACCTCCCTGGGCTCCGGCTCTGGGCCTCAGCCCGGCTGGCAGCCCCATGACCCAGAGCGGGCCCGTCAACCCTAGAGG